CCCCCCCCCCCCAACATTATTGATGTTTATTGGGTTAAATTTCTTGCGTTATACACAAATAAATATGGTAGATCAACTTCAGAAGTTAATGAGTGTAGATGTGGATCCAATTAATAATTTTATAAAGTTGAATTAAAATGTCATGGTTCATCCACCCATTATTTGATCCACTTCTTCTTCTCTGGGTTTTAGAGGTCACTGGTGCCTGTGTCCAGCAGTCACTGTGTGGGGCACACTCAGGACAGACAAACAAACAATCAAACATACACACAGACACAATCAAAAACTAAAACTAAACATTTTAAAACTCATCTGCAGAATTTTTTTAAACCTGTTTGTTTTTAAATCTTGGACTTTTGACATTCTTGGATGACTCATATTAGTGCTTTCTGTTTTCCCTTCAGGCTACACGTTGGCCACCAAACTGAGGAGACACATCAAGTCATCCCACCTGAAGGAGAAGCTCTACAGCTGCTCCTGCGGCGCCTCCTACACTGCGAAGCAGAGTCTGCTGAGGCACCAGGCTCAGCACAGGACAGATAAAGGAGCTCAGACAGAGGCGGGAGGGCAGAGAGACCAGGATGAGCAGGAGTTAGCAGCTTCGGGCAGCAGTCACCCGAAGCCGGTTCGAGGCCGACCCAAGAAGAAACTGCTTCTCGGGGACCCAGAGGGGAGTGACCGAGGTGACGCACAGCAGGGAGGAGAACAGGAMAAACACGAGGAGAAGTTGAAAAATGCTGAAACGGTGTCTGGAGGAGCAGAAGAGGCTCCGGGCGACGTCCAGCACTCCGTAGTTTACGTTCACACAGACGACCTGTCTGTACCAGCCTCCACACCTCTGCTGCTCGCAGCCGATTGCTCCCTCCCTGCAGGGGCAGAGCCGGAGCTGGTGGAGGTGCTGATATCAGATGGCGTGGAGCAGTGCATTGTGGTCCGTGGGCAGCAGGCAGTGGGGGAGCTGCTGATCCTGCAGGAGGAGGATGATAGTGGACTCTGCACTGTGGCTCAGACTGTTGAGATAAACACAGTGTGACCTGAAACCACAGGACATTCTGATCATCACTTCCAGCACATGAGGTTTCTTTGCTTAGATTCATTTATATGATTGATTGAACACAATGAGTTGATCCACAAACTCACAACTCTGACTCTTAACAGTTGGTGCCAAAGTTTTAAAGTGCCTGTGACATGCATATTCACGAAATACAAAAAGTCAAATAAACCATATTTATATTTAAGAAACCTAACATAATACATGATTTTACCCATTATGTCACATAATTGGCCTATTTTCTTTTGAATTTGGCTATGCTGAAGTGAAACAGGAAGTGACATCAAAGGGGAACTCTTTGAGAAAGAGAACTTCCTGGTTTTTGTTTATTTAAACAAATATTATTTGAACTATGACTCTTTCTCATCCCTCTCTGATAGAGATTAAAATAATCTAAAGAAACATCAGATTCTTCTCTACAGTCTGTGTTGTTAGCTATTTTAACAACGCTCTGTTTACATTCAGACATTACCCTTTGACATCACTTCCTGTTACTGGACATGCAAATATCTCAACAACTGTTCATCTCAGCGATATGAAATCTTTTTTACAATATGTTATGAATGTTATCTTTCCAAAAATACATTCATATTTWTTGCAAACATTTGATGTCACAGGCACTTTAAACAAAGATGTGGTGCATTGTGCAGTGATGTGACTCAGCTCAAAGTTTTCCCAGTAACTCTTAGAGTTAGAGAATAGTTTGTTGGCTAATGATTCCACATGGCTGCCRTTTTGAATTGGGTTGACTTAGAAAATAAAGCACATGTAGATGTACATTCAGTGATCACTTTTTGAATGAATGTGTTGTCATCCTTTAYGAAATGTCCTCTGCATTTGAGCCATCACCTGTGAGATACACCCAATTGGAGCAGCAGGCAGCGATGTGATCACCTATGGAGCAGTCAGGGAGTAGATGTCTTGCTCCAGGACACCACGAAATGTGGACATGGCAGGGCATTGAACCTGCCTTCCTGGTCCCGAGTCAGCCACCCCACTCCCTTTTGGCGTTTCACTAAAATTTGTCTTGTGGTTACTGAGATATTTTGCYTACAGACACAGACATGGGCAATAAAACTAATTTTGCCTCATCAGGCGAATAAAACATTCAAGGTTCATAATATTGTCACATAGAGGCATAAAAGATTTACGTGGTGTATATTTTCAGACAGAACAGCTCTGTGACAACATACAGGGAAATATCTCAGCCGTCGAGTGGTCCTGACTGCAGTACAAGGCCTCATAATGAATTATCAGYCTTGTACAGGTCGAAATGACTGTTGTTTGGAACTGCAATAGGTTGCCTATATTGCCTCACAGAGTCCACAGAGTGTTCGTTCTCTTGCACATAAATGAGTAGGAACTGGAGCTTTGCTTATGGATATTCTCCTTTGAAAAAGGGGGTCCTCACATGGGGTTTCATTAGGTTTTAAGGCACTTACCATGTAATTACTGTCTCTGTTTGGAGACCGGCTGGGGGCTTTACATCAAGACTGTTTCTTTCCCGGCTGCCTCTCTGCTTTCTGCTCTCTGAGGAAATTAAACGTTTCAGAAAACCACTGAAGTTATGAAGCAGTAGAGCAAATATGAAAAGAATTAAAAGTATAATTTTAAATCATCCAGGCTTACATAGGTTGTCATGTGAAAAATAGCTTTGCAGCAGGTTTAGTCAGCTATTCACAACGACACTTTTCCTGTTTATAGATTAGGTTTTTAAGAACAACGTTTTTTTTCTACCTTTAGATGCCTCTTTTGCAGCTGCAAGTTGCTGCCTCTGCCCTGTCTCTTATCGTTTGAATAAATTGTTTTAGTTAGAATATAAAGAGCAGCGTCACACTTTACGCTGTATTTGACTGTGGCTGATGTACAAAAACAAGAGCTTGTTGGTGCAGTCTGATCTGTCCAGTAATTAAAAAACTAAACACACACGAACCTTGTGCACAGGTAAAGCTTTAGGGCATTAAAAATTTAATAAAATATGTAAAAAAAAAAGCTTTGTGGTCGACAGCATCTGCCTTGACCAAAAACAACTACTGGATCTGRCAGGTGGTTGTGGTGCAGAAGATGGCCCTCCAAATACTCAGGATTAGATTTCTTTTACTTAAATTATCAAAAAAACTGTTTCCATGTCCTGAGGGAAGAAAATGTCTTTTTTCAAAAATTGCCATGAAATAAATAAATTGTATTTTTTTGATTGTGGAGTTTTGTGAACCTTAAGGCCATTAATGAGATAATATTGGGGAAAAAACCTTTCAATTAGTTTTTTTATTTCAGGTTGAGTTAGTTTTAGAGTTGGGCAAAATCATATCGTGCAATTGTTGGTAAAACTGTCAACAATTAGTATTTGCTACTTTGAAATTACTGCAATTAATGCCGTGCGAGGATGTATTTATGTGTGAAATGTGAACAGAATGGTGGAAGATGGAGCAGCTAACACTAACACTACAAACTAGTTTAATCACCTGAAACACCAGCACAAACCAAAATATAAAAAAAGCCATGTGGCCATGTTAGACACATACAAGTGTAATTGTCTTTTGTTACTCATCATCGGCAAAGTGCCACAGTTAATTGTGATAATCTTTTCTGTCAGTATTGCCCAACCCTAGTTTATCAAAGGCTGATGGTTTTATGGGGGATAAAACTCTTAATAAATTGTATTTTTTGATGGAGGCAGTGAAGTTGAAGAAGAAAGCCTTTAGGGATTGGCTGAAGCAGCTGGCAGGTACAGGCTGGCCAGAAGAACTGCAGCTTCRRTGGTTACAGATGCAAAGATACACRGGTGAGCTGCCCGAACACCAACRAAGAAGAATCCRCAGGTAGTGTGTGTGCGGCAGCAATCTGTTGGACACGTCCCTTCAACATCACATGGAGGACTGGGACAACTCTAGAGTGGYAGACCGGGGYGGTGGTTCCCATCTTTAAAAAGGGGGACAGGAGAGTGTTTTCTAACTATCGGGATCACACTTATTAGCCTCCCTGAGAAAGTTTACTCCAGGGTGTGGGAAGGGAACCTGATTGATCGTTGAACCTGGGATTCAAGAGGAGCAGTGCGGYTTTCTGGTYCTGGAACAGTGGACCAGATCTTTACCCTTGTGGAATTGCTAAGGGGCGGGGGGGTTTGCCTCTCAGGTCTACGTGTGTTTTTTAGACTTGAASAATGACCATGCCTCTCARGGCGTTCTGTGAGGRGGTGCTGCAGGWGTATGGAGTGTCTGGGTTGTTTTTAAGGCCTATACTGTCCCCTTAGAACCAAAGCAGGAGCTGTGYCYRCACTCATGGCACAAAGTCGAGCTTGTTCTCAGTGTGGGTTGGACTCTGCCAGGGCTGTCCCTTGTCTCTGATCCTGTTTGTAGTGTTTATAGACAGAGTATCATGACACAGTTGTAAAGAAGAGAGGATCTGGGGTCTAATTTCTGCTTGTTGTGGATGATGTTCTGTTTTCTTTGGCCCATGACCTTCAGCGTGCTCTGAGGCGTCTGGCAGCTGAGTGTGAAGAGGCTGGAACAGTCCGACGCCATGGTTCTCTGACAGAAACAGCGGGAATGCCCCTCCAGGTTGCTTCAGGTGGAGAATATTTCACATGTCAATTAAAACATTCTGGTCAAATGGAATGATTTRACCTAAAACCAGAATCCATAATTTACATCAGTGGTTCTCAATTCCGGTCCTCGTGACCCACTATCTTGCAAGTTTTGGTTATTTCCCTGCTGGTACACCTGATTTAAATTACTGAGTGACTGACAAAATTCTGCAGAACTTGTAGAGCTGCAGAAGAGATGGGAAACAACTAAAACATGCAGGATAGTGGCCCACAAGGACCATTGATTTAYTTTTGTTACATTTAGTCATAAAAATGTAACCCTTTATTAAACCTTGTGGTGTTATTCAGCGTTTAAATGCAGAACTGACTTTAAAATGATTTTTTTCCATTGTTATCTGACAATGTGCTTGTTTAAAATGATGCAGCACTTTGTAACATTTGTGGTTTGTTCAACATGATGAACATGTTGAACACTGGGATATTTTGCACAGAAATAATTTATTGTCTCTGCTTTAGGTATCGTGTGGCCATGTCTTATTGTAATTGTACATTAAATTGTGTCTTTTTAAGACCTTCTTTAGGTATATATAT